AATAAGACAAGTTGTTAATAGGAGAGAATTTCAAAATGTTGACATATAACATACACATATAAAGTTATTTAGGCGTTATACACGAGAGAGAAGAAGTGATTAGTCCAGTGACAACGTCTATAAAAGTGTGGTTGATGGACACAATATTGAAAACATTAATTCCCTCACGATTACCGTTACGACTTGCTTAGGGCGGAAATTTTGCATGGAAATTATATTTAGGTTTCCTCAGCGACTTCCTTCAACAATCACATTACCTTTGAATATATATATATATATATATATATATATATATATATATATATATATATATATATATATTCATGGTGAAGAATATATATCGCTTTTCACCACGGAAACCAACCGTGCTAATAAAGAAAAGGAATATACGGGCATCAATAATGTTTAAATGAGGTTTTGACTGACGTTTATATTCTGTGAGAGTTCATTCGAGCGAAATCAACTAGCACAACAGAGCAACGAAGTCATCTTACGTCTGAGGTATTATGACCCATTTATTCACAATTAAATAACAGTAAAATCATTTAGCTTTCTTTCTAACAGAATCGCTTATGCCATTGTTCTGTACAAACTCGACTTAACCAAAGTTCAATGAACAGATTAATAACTCATAAGTTAAGAAAGATGAATCTAAAGAATCGGTGAATTTCTTTATAAATTTCGGTAATTATATTAAGTCATTTTTACTGAACATTAGAATCATTCTATGTGAGCTTGCTAATTTCCTTCGAATGGTATGAATTAGGTGTGAGTTTCGATTTGTTGATAAGTCGCATTGTAAGTAGCCATCACAAAGATTTTGATCAATGTTACATACTATCTACAATGTAGAAATCTCAGCAGAAACGATTTCAATTATCTTCAACATACATAGTAGTCACTGCCTTCAGCACTGTAGCCTATGCAACAAAATCGTTTCTGAAAATCAATGGAAAGCATAATGGATAACAGCAATGAATGGTAGGTCGTATGAAGAAATCAACATATCATCAATTTAAATGTCGAGAAGTGTCAAAAGCATGAAGCCACTACATATAAAGTACCGGATAGAAAGCTTTCTTCGATAACAGTAGCACATAAAAAGATGAAGAATAATTATTGGTAGATTTAGTATCACGAAAAGTGACATCACTTTCATTACGGAATATCCAATTGCAAAATCGTCATGGTATCACAACAGCATGTTTAAGTGTTATTCGTGGCTAAAGTTAGGAATTCCATATTTGGAAGAATTATATGCGACTAATAACAGCAGACCGTTCTTCATTGAAATACACAGACTTATTCATTACAAGATGTAGAAGTACTCGCTCATAATGCCTTTATCATGATAAAATGAATGCTAAGAAGTGATTTCCTTTGGAGATCACTGTTCGACAAACAATTTATAACGGCGAACTAATAACGAAAAGTATATCATAATAGAACAGATAGCTTGTCGTAAGTAGCAACATGCTTTAGTCATTGATTATTATCTTCACTGAATTGAGTGCCATAACGTTAATGACTTTAGGTCACTTTATGCTGTGAGCAGCTAACACGAATCCAATGAAATCGATTTTCATCGGCAGTCGATCTTCGTTACTATTACGTTGATGGTGATACAGCACACTAGTTCGATGGATTTCAAATTCTGTCCATGAGTCTATAATTCTTAAAATACAAAGAAGAAAGTAGGTAATAGATATGCGAATGAAGATTCAAGGTTATAAATAATCTCTGAAGTTGAATATCATCAACACCGCATTCTGAATTCTTACTTATTTCAGTCAAAGTTGAAATCGTTGGTTGTGAAAATGAATTTTCAAAGGTGAATTGTTCACAAATCTCAATTGGAGTTAATTCAACAATGATGTGTCAACGGGAAAAAGTCAAAATAATTCCAGTTGCATTTAAGGCATTTATCATTTCATTTAAAAGTTTCAGTATCATTTGTGATCCAGATCCAGATTTTCTTAATGGCCTGAAATTAACGTTAGAAATATATATGTTTTATAAACAGATATTGGAAAAAAATCAAACCGACAATACATAGTGTATTGCTGAATAATACACTGAGATAAGGCACTTGAACAATGTTAGACAGGAATATTCTAACTGAGGAAAAGACTGATTGTTTATTTCTTCCCAGTACAAAACCTTTTTATTTTGTGTTACATCACATCATAATAAATGATCATAATGTATCGCATGAAATTATAATAACTAGGACGATCACTCAATCGATAATCCGTTATTTGATTATTGTGACAAGTTTGACAAATTTTTGAAAAATTTTATACTGAGATACATGAATATCGTATAGGCGCGCACAAAAGTGGAATCATCAGAATGCGATTATGAACAAATAATAGGCGTACAAAAATTTATCATGCACTTGTGTTTCTCAATGTCTGAAGGATAATTAACAGGTTTGTGTGAACGATTCTAATGTAGTGAAAACAGTGATAAATCGTTTGTTGTCATGACAGCGAAATAATTTGTGAAAACAAGTTGAGCAGAATATGACAGAAATTGTCTGTAATGCCGACAGAATAGTAAACTATGAACATGTTCTGATGAAAGGCACTAGAGTAAGTAGCGTCGATTAGCGATGACTGCATTCGGTTTTAAATACCTAGAGTTGGCTTTCGTATTATAAAAATATACATGTTTTGAAATGATAACTGCATCAACGGGTGGTATTCGTTGCTGTACTGCAACTGATAATAATCATGAAATGCGAAGTCAGTGTGCGTTGTCGTTTGTGTTATCGAGTTTCCATTAAATATGTTTTAGTAGGCTGACAAGAAATTCAATAGTTTTTGTCCACTCAGTTACAATAAGACATTAGTTAAAACACTATACGGCAGAAAGAATGTGTACCACCGACAAACTGGACAAAGAAACGATGAAAGTGAAAAAATATCTACGAGACAACATAACCCACAAACGTTTATTGACGAATATAAAAAGCGTAAGGAAAACAATGCTGAAGTAATTACTATCCATAAAAAATCAATAACTATAAGTCTTAATATCAAAGTCGATGAGGTTGCAAAAACTATCAACAGAAGACTAAATACTGCGCTATTCAGAACTAATCCGGCGGTCAAACTTCAAATTCTGTATAAAACGACATATTCAATAGCTCATCCGAAAATTGATAAGCATCCGTTTTATTTAACTGCCAATTTATCTATAAATCTAAGTGTATTTGACAAATAAGCTTCACTGGCAGAACAAAAAGGAGAGCATATCTCAGATTTTCCAAAAAGCCCCAGAACAAGAGAAAGAAAGACTCCAAATAGTGCAATCAACAAACATCTCCTTGATACAGGTCGATACCTTACAATCATTCAGGGTGATTAGTAAGCAGCCGAACTCCAGTTTTCTGAAGTTTGCTGAAGTAGTTGCTATCTGGGGCCAAAAACCTCATTTATGTGTTCAAAAGGAGATGGTTATTATTCTTTCTTTGCCTTGGGGACTAATATTCCTTCGTCATATCTTATTATGTTTTCCTATCACATAAGACGGTGTCTCCAATTGGCGATTATATCACTTGATATAATCAATGAAACATGAAAATATAACACCCAATATTGTACACAGTTAATGTCTAACATTCAGACATCTCACAACTACATTACTATTATTCACAGAAGTTTAATACACACTCATAGAGTAGTCGCGTGTTTATTATCACATTTAATAATTATCACGTATAATAAGAATTTAATTGAAAGTCATTGCAGTTATAGAACCAGTAACACTCGATAAGTTGACTAACAATCTTAAGAGAAATTCGTGCTGAACGCTGGGGTAATCACCTCATTCGTTCTATTTTAAAGTATGCTTTTAAGATAGGTGCAAATAAGGATGAGCGTGATTACAACCTGATTAAAGTACATATACTTCTCATCATAACTGATGGTCAAGTAGGTGTTTTCTCTTAGTATAACGTCAGTTACCGAGATATCAGTGCCTAATTTTTAATAAATGATCTCAAATACAAGGGCACAAACATAGTTGAGAACAAAGGCAGCACAAAGAGGTGGGGTTTTACCCAAAAAATTAGTTGACTATCAGGCGTTGGAACTTCTCTGAATAGCCTCAAAATTTGTGAGGTAATTGATAAAAGACTGACCACTTGTTGTCCATGTAATTCTACACGTTAGACAAATCAAATACAAGTATGAGTAGCGTATTTTCGGAAGGCTAGCAATTATTTCAATTCGCAGTCACTGAAACTATTGAAATTCGTACACACTAATAAAGAAAAGTGTCATGAGTACGGGTCACAATAAAAAAGGGGAAAATTATCAATAACGATGAATATGAAGCGACACTTAATGCAACTAATAAGACAAGAAAGTTTCTTTGCCTACTTATATGCGGAAGTAAGATTTTGATGTTGTCTGGACGAAAAACGGAAACCCTCCATCTCAAACATTATCAAACTAACTAAACCAATCACTGAATAATAAGTCATATGTTAAAGTCACGACACGTGTGTACATGGAAAGTGAAGCTGGTGGGTGAAACCATTCACGTCAATTTCTTTTGTTGTTTTTTCAACTATAATCGAAATGTTCTTCAATGTCTGCTTGCATTTCAAACGAATATTTTCAAACCAGAAATTAGCAACATCTAACCCTGATCTTTTTCAAGGAACGTCTATTATACATGACAAAGTAGTTTACAATAATCATTAGGATATTCTCCACGTATATATGTGAATATCTGTATGCTAACTACAATAATCAATGGAAAATCTTGAAGTTATTTCGTCCGTTCTCTGTCTCGTTCAGAAATTTATCTTTCCCTTCACATTCAATGATTGAATTTAATATGAATAGTAAACCGATTAGAAGTATGGAATTTTCATACATTAATACAAAAACACTGAAGAGCGTAGAAATCTGTTCTTGTTCATGGTATTTCTCCAGATTATATGTTGTGAATATAATCACCTGTAATTATGAAAACAAGGATAATTACTTCATAATCGATGCATTGTTATCAATATATGTATCAGTGAAATCATAGACATATAGAGGTATAAAGTTAAGAACTTAGTGGTTTCTCAACATTCATACATAACTAATGATCAGTAATTGTCTTGTATTTTTATCTGTCATGTTCATTTGTATAACAGAGCATCATATAAATGGAGCCATTCAACCAAGGAAACGAAAAAACGAGATGAAATCTTCACCACTCAATTTCTCCGTTTCAGTCGTCCAGTTTTTCATGTCGCAATATTTTCTTTAAAATATTTCATGATGAATTGTGTTGGATGCAGTAGATAGAAAGCACTAATGATTCTTAGTTCTAAATTCTACAGAACGATGTATTTGGAAGCATGATAATCGACTGACTATTTGTAATTGCATTTGCTTATTTATTCATTACTTACAATGAACACTGCGCCGCACCAACAAACCAAGATAGCAACTAGAAGTCCTATCTGAAATAATGGAAAGAAAAAAAAAATCAACTCAATTCATCATATATCTATGCACTTGTTAGAAACACTGTTATTCGAGCGAATAATTGGTAAATAGTTAGTTATCGTCATACACTTCTAGTTTGTGTAAATCTTTGAGTAGACAAACTCACGGTTTTAAGAGTCAGCCACAAAACCATGAGAATAAATCCAGTAAAAACGAATCCACCACACACCGCAAACAAGAAAATCGTCCATTTCTTTTGTGATTCATTTAGCTTTGAACCCAAGAAAATGGCTATAATGAGGAGCGCGGTAGCGATAGATATAGAACTAAATTGATCGTACCATTTTGCAAATGATATTAGTAATCCAACGCCGACATTATTGAAGATCATCTGAATAGGGTAAAAGCAGTATGAAATTACTATTGGCTGAATCGGTCAACAACTGACAAATTGATGGAAGACTAGCAAAAAGTGCTTGCCGAAGTCTGTCATAATGAAAAACAAAAAATAATTTCAAACCTAATTCTCTCAACCTCCACATATGACATTATTATGTGAGTTTGATCACCTGAATGGTGTTATTTTGCTAACTTGGTAAAGCCAACACGTTCGACAGCCAGTAACGTCTATGACTCTAACCAATTCCACATCATTCATACGTTTGTAACAACAATGTACCGTTGTTATGCGTATACACACATACATATTTCTGAATTTCCATGATATTTACTAATACTGTTCAGTGTTATATTATTTTGATCACATAACGTTGAATCCTAATAGCGCACGATTTATTAGGTGATCCGAGTTATATACGTTGACATTTTCATGAAATCAGTGAAACTGTAAAAATTGTATCTTTAAATGTAATGACATCTTAAAATCATCATCGAATATCATCTGTTCAATTCAACATTCAAGATGTCTTAGACCTTGATATCGATTATCAAGACGGACAAAACAACATTTCCATTGATCAACAAACAAAACGACTAACTAAATTCACTCGATGGTTAAATAAAAATATAATGAATATCTTCTTAAACAATATTCAACTGACGGTTATAACGATGAAGAAACTGTTCTTTGTGGATATGGTGTGTAGTTTTCTATTGGTTATTATTATAAATCCAAGAACTAAACCGATCAATCTGAAATACAAAAAAAACAATTTATAATATCATAATCTCACAGATGCATTTAACAAAAGTAATGTGTATCTGACGTTGAACATAATCTTTAAACATGAAATGGTTGAACGAATTCCTCATTGTTTCAGTTTGACATTTTCGAACGTTTGTCAAACTTGTCACAATAACCGAATAATGGATTATCAACTGTTTGATCGCCCCATTTATCTCATTTCATGCGATACATTATGATAATTTATTATGATGTGATGTACCACAAAATGAAAGTGTTTTGTACTGGATCAAGTGCCTTATTTCAGTGTGTTATTCAGTTCATTGAATAGCAATACACTATTAATTATCGTTGTAATTTTTCTGCAATACCTGTATTTAAAACTTAAATTACTTACGTTAATATGAGGCCACTTTGAACATTTGAATCCGGAAGGCATATAGTGCTAAACCTTTCAAATGCAATGAGAAATGTCTTACGTGTAATTACAATTACTGTGATTGGCGTTTTCTGACATATTAACAAGCATGGGGATGCTGAATCTGTCAAACAGAATTACAAATGTCTAACCTGACATTGGAAATATTCAGACAGGTTGGCATTGTAAAAACCCTCTGAAAGCTAAATCTGTCGAATGGAATGATAAATGTCTTACACGCAGTGATACGGGAAGGATATATTTGTAGGAATACATATGCAATTTGACATCATTATTTTACCTTCAGTGAAGATTGGTGAACAGTTCACCTTTGAAACGTCAGCTATCACAATTAACGATTTCAATCGAAACTGAAATAATGAAGAATTCCTTACGCCTGAAAGCCAGAATTAGTTATGTTAATATAATAGTACAAGTGTTAACTTAATTTTTATCCTACTACAGACTACTATACAGTGATGAATGAATGTTCATTGTACCCTAACTAATTTATTCCTTGCGTTCACCGGAGCCTTTGTACTCATCAAATAAAAACAAACACAACCAAATCCTCAATATTGTTATTTTTTGTTTTTGTTTTCAGTTTTCATAAGTTTTTAAGTGTTTGATCATTGATAAGTCAAATAACATTACCAAGTCTACTTATTATCCACTTAAAATTCATATTGAGATTTTGTGTTATTTAAACACTTTGTATTTCGTATCAATGAACAAAGTTAACGAAAACTCTAACCATTTATAAGAGTTGTAAATGTGTGAACATGATAGACGCTTATAGGTATAACTTGTTTGAAAATTTTTTTATCATCGTTTCATGACGTTCAGACATATGACTGAGGGTTATCATAATCTGATGTTCCAATGACACATCATTTCCGAGATGTCGATAATGATTTTGATGGATAATTATTTAAAACATCTTTCCTACAGTGTAGTTGTGTGTAGGTTTCTCATTCACATTTGCTCATTTGTGCTTTCTGTAATATCTCAATGAAGTATCCTTGTATTTAATTTATTGCAACTTGTTCTTCCCAGCGAAGTTTCTTGAACAGACCACAATGCACGTTTGCAGTTACCTCTGTGCTTGACTTCCGTATACCAGATGTTTGTTGTCTTGTTGTACTGCATTTGCTGTTTAAATACGTTCGACGGTCATGGCGATTTCTCAAACCATATGTGAGGTGCTATCTACAAGAAATTATGTGGTGGCTGTTTCGATATGCGTCATCCTAAAATAAACTACTTGCTCAAGAGTGTTGCACCATGACATTGAAATTCTTTAAATGAGTTTCTAAACAAAGCTCGAGAAGATTAACTAAATGTCACAATAAACGACCTAAAAATCTACATCATCTCGGTATACATACATCCCATATAATTAGAAGTAAATTTCTGAAGATAAATTGAAGCTGAGATGTGATTTGTGATTCCTGTTTCTTGAAACTAACGTGGATGATGGAAACATATGAGAGCTTAATAAAATGAATTTCACCGTTCATTACCATGACTGTAATTCAGAAGGTTGGCTCCAATACAAAGGTTTTCCTGTTTTCCCGAATGAGATAATCTTGCAATCGCTGCTGTTGTATCGATCCATTTTGTATTAAATTGTTCACTATAAATTTCATTGAAAAATATGACATATCACTAGACTAATCCGTAGTGAACACAAATAATTACTCATGTATATATCCTTTCCTATTTATCATCTGAAAGAAATGTAAGGTGTTTGCAAACTGATCTATCAGAATCATATCAGAGCAATTTTCACTTTCAATTGTTTCGAACCAAACGTGAACATCAGAACATATAAGATAAACTTATGAGTTATTTCGAATACCATACCATAATTATTCCACGATATTTGGTTGGTCTCATCTTATACCGAGATTTCATTGTAACATTCGATAGAATAGAATTCGCATCCAGTACATTATAGAAAAAAGTCAGGTTCACCTTGGGTGACATGATAAATCACACTCAACCAGTGTAAATTAAAAGTCGATTCGCAAATATCGGTAAAAAACCTCAAAAAGGTGACAATATAATTGGTAAGCAGGTTACACAGAGTTAATTGACAATTAACTACTCGTGTGTCATGATTTCAATGAATAATACGACCTCGGCCGCACAAAATCTACAAACGGATTGTTTTATTTATCAATGTGCGAATTTTGAAATTCATTAGTCGACCTTAATCTTTGTAATCGTGAAAGAAATCACATTCGGTAATGCGTTCAGTAGATCTACTTCACATGTGTCATAGTGTTTTTAGTACGACAGTAAAAAATTATTTGTGAGCATCACACAGTCCAAATAACTATCATAAATTGAGTTAACCGAACAATAAACTACATGATGAGGTTAGGATTCATGTACGACCGAACAATGGATTCAAGTAAAGTTATTTCGCCTTATGACCACGTAATACTCATTAATATTTCATCATTCAAGTACAAATTGGTCATAAAACCAATGTCAGTACAACAGAGAGTGACACACGACTAAAGTTAATTGTGAAACATCATACAATCCTAATCAATATAATTTCTGATTGAATTCTACATATAGTATTTTCATAATAATAACACACTGTATGTTTTAATTTGAAGTTATGTTGTTCAATACGCGTTTACCTAGTATAATCATTTTCGGTCTTCTAGGTATAATAGCTTTGCTTTTGAATTTATGTCTCATTTTCAGTAGACTTAAGAAAGTATTACGGAAACCATTTTTCACATAAAATGTTTGCCACTTTAATAGGATCTATTATTCGATACTGCGAGTTCCATGGACTAAGTAATCAACAAGCTTTCTGTTTTTGCAAATATTTCAAAAGTTTATGTTCGTTAAGTACTACAAACTAAGCAATATAATCTCATATTTTTTTCCACTACTAGCCTTTTACTTACACAGATTAATTTTATGAGTTCAGTCGTATGAATTACAAATACAATGTGACAAACTGATCAAGATGAATAGTTGGTAGTTGAATACAACATCTTACTGAAGAATTAAGTACAGTGAAAATGCATTTACACTCTTAATGACTAATCATACTTTAAATAAATTATTGAATATACGAAATCATTAGCTGGATGAATTGTTTGAAGCATATGATTACTATCTGTCGAATTTACTTTGCTGAGATGTGTCAAAATCCTACCACATCATGGTTTGAATATTCTAATTGTATGTTTCAATGTTTAGAAAACGTGATTTGTGTACATGGAAATGAAGGTTAACAGTGAAGTCGAACTGTAGATGATGAACGTGCATTTCTAATTGCAGACCGACTAAATATACTTGTGTTTTATGAATTGTATAATGATGCAACATACAGTTTCATATCACGTAAATGTGAGAAACAACACGCATAATTTTCTTTTCATTTTTAAATATTACATTCTAACATAATCACTTCTGATGATGACAGAAAAGAAGCAGGAACAATATGATAAGTGATTGTAAACAAAACACTCTAACGGTCTGTTAGATTATGTGAGTGAAATAGTGGTCTTGAATAGTGCAAAAGGTTGAAAGAAGATGTAACATGCAAAAATATGGTAGGCTGAATGTAAATAATAGTTGCATACATCATCGTATGAAATATGTATCGGACGGTGTTTGGAAAAGTGTGTCTCCAACAACTGATTTTCTATGAGTTAATAAATAAGTCGTTCTTTCATCCAATGAATTTCTTTTTTGAAATAACAACCTTATCTATGTAGAACTATCAAATGATTCACTGTTCATAAATGAGAACACGACAATTCATGCAAGTCAAAATATATTGTACTATTGTAAATCTCTACAGATTAGGAGACGAGATGAATATGATTTATGGAACTTAATATGCCATGAACATCTGTGACCATAAACCTAAAGATGTATACAGTATGGTTTACATTGACATTCAAATACTCACTCAACACTTTATTCACCGTCAGAATCATTCTTGATGATGTGGTTAACAAAACTGCACAACCATATATAAGCCTGTTATTTATCATTATGTGATAAATAGTTTAATATTTATAGGTTGATTTTTAGACACGGCATCCTCATTCAAATAACGAACAAATGAAACAAAATATATTTATGCAGTGTTCTGGAATAAACATGTCAACCTTATATTTGTTCTAATTCTATTTGGTTCATGTATTCTAATGTTAAATGAAAAATGTAACCATGTATTGAAAAAAGAGGCACCAATATCTCGGTAACTGACGTTATATTAAAAGGAAAACATCATTTTTACTATCAGTTATGAAGATTAATTATACGTATTTTAATTAGATTGTGACTACGCTGATCTTTGTTTGCACCCATCTTGAAAGCGAGCTTTAAAAAAAACGAAGAAGGTGATTATTACAGTGGTTAGCATGTATATCTTTTAAGATTGTTATTAAACTAATCGACTTCATAGTGGATAAAGCCGTGCTACCAGTTCTATAGAGTCAATGCATTTTCATTCTATTACTAATATATTATTTGTGATCATCAACAAGCGACCACTATATAAGTGTTTATTTATTTGCTGGAAATTACTGTGATTGTAATCGAACAGAGAAAGAATGTTTGATTACTCTGAATAAAAATGTGCAACCTTTGTGTTTTTTTGAGTAGTAATGATTGGCGGAAATCTGTCATATAGCGAGTAAACTTTTACGGATGATTGCTCTGCAGAATCATCAGTTGACTGAATTTAGATGTCAACTGTGTGCAATATTGGGTATTTGCCTTTAAGTTCGATTGATTATAAGAAGTGATATGATTATCAATTATTGACACCGACTTATCTGATAGCGACAATGAATAATAAACCCATATGAGTAGCTGATATTTCTTATTTGTCCGTCTGGATAATAGTTTCTTTTCTAACTCAACCGCATTAAAAAATTTGAAAATGCACACATAACACAGTTACTTAATAGCTATACAATAAGAATACATAAATAACGGTCCATAAATGATCCTTATCTTTTACCAGTTATTGAATCTCTGTTCGCATATATCATTGGACCAATGCTCAGAGATCCAAGCGTTCACACGCAAGTCTGAATTTTATGGATATATGCCCAAATGTTGTATGCAAGTACGAAATGATCTCACAATATTTACAGTATTTCAAATGAAGTTTAGGTTTAGTCAATTGATGTTATTATTCGTGAAAAATCTTTTATTTTGACTGGGTTTTTCTCTTAGAAATTATCGTACTGTGAATTATTTTTTAAATAATAAACAGTCAATGGACTCATTTATTATCGTTATATGTCGAAAGTATAAAGGAAACATTTACGTTGATGATTTAAAATCTGTATAAATAATGCTGATTGTTTGTTTTTTCATTTTTGTTATTGAATGCTTAGTCTCTATCGTGATGTCTTTAAATAACTGTTACTAAGTTACTGAGACTATGAGAGAGGGAGAGAGAGGAAACAACACTTTTTTTCAGAAAATAAAAAAGATTTATTCTAAATAGATATAGTATGAAAACATTTTAGT